AGCTAATCCAGATAACTCTAGTCTCAGATATAGACTATAAAAAAATCCACATCTAAATCTGGATTTATTTCTTTGTATATATACTTATATATGTCAGATTATATATATATACACATATACATATATATATACACACAGACACACTCACATATTTGTGGATATTTGTGTATCTATACATATCTGTACCATCCGATGCCTTCCTTGCCTTTCGTGGGCTCTGACCGCCCCCCCCCCGCTTTCACTCCTTACCTTAAGATGCCCCCTCATCTTGCTTGCGTTCTGACTCAGCATTGGATCCCAGCACCCCCACCTCAGGCATGGATTTTTATCTATCTTGTCCCCTCTTTTGGATTGAATTGAAATACTCAGGAGGGAAGGAAAGTAGATAGCTGGTTATTTTTGATTCAGTGCTAGAGAGTGTATATGAAATTAGAGAAATAATTTAAGACCTAGGATTGACAAGACTGAATTTAAGTCCCATTCCTCCAGAGGAACATTATGTTTACTTCTATAGGTTCAGTTGTGACAGAATAAAAGGAGAGTGGCCTAGATTTACTCATCAGTGACTTCTCTAGAGAAAGAAAGGCTTACGCTTTCTAGAGGAGTCTGTCTAGAAATTTAATTAAGCTCCTTTTGAGCCAAGTACTATTTTCGCCTTTGCTACCTTTAAGGTTACTAGAATAACTTAGTGCCTAGGGCCGCATCAAGACATGATTGTATAAGCAGTGTTCTACGATTCAGTTCATGTGAAAGTCCAGAATAGGGACATTTACAGAGACAATGATTCATGGTTACTTAGGTTGAAGGAGAATGGGTGTTTGTGGGGGGTGATAGATAAAGTGTATGGGTTTCTTCTTGAGGTGATGAGTATGTTCTAACATTGGGCTGATGTTTGTACCTATTTGTGCATATCCTAAAATCCATTAAATCGCACACTTCAAATAGGTAAGTTGTATGGCATTTGAATTCTATGCCACTAAAACTGTTGAAACATTTTGTAAAAATGACATTGATTGTGCCTTGCTTGGAACCTTGAGTCAACTGGAGACCTCTATGGACCTTGCACCAGCAACACAACTTTTCAGTGAAGTCCGTGATAGCCAGCCACAAAGCAGAGACTCAGTAGAACCGCTCCTCTTGGGGATCACCTGTTCACGGCTGTATAACCTTGGGCAAAGCACCTGAATTTCCCTAAGTGCAGGTTTCTTCAGTCTGGGAATGGGGCATGTTAGTATCTGTTATTAAGTAAGAATGTCCGTGGAACTCACAGCATGGCTCATGGCACGGAACAGCCTCTGCTGAGTGGTCTTTTGCTATGAGACATGAAGCATCATAAAACAAGTTGCTCTGAGCTCAGGGTCATGTTTTCCTAAATTGTCCTTCACTTTGCCTCTGCCTGTCTATGATGCCTGGCAGTGGTCCTCTGCACCTTTTGGGAACTGTAGGTGATAACAGCTGATGGGTTGAGCCTGAGCAGTCAGAGAATTGGTTTTTTAACTCTTCTGGGAGTATGAGTCTCAGTGAAGTCACGGGAGCCTTCTGGGGCAGATCAGTTTGAAGTCTGAAAGGTACCAGGGGAGATTTTTAGAATATAGATATGACCATTGATTTGAAGTAGAGCGAATTTTTATCTTTCCTAATCTAAAGAGCCCTAAGTGGCCTTCAGAAGCTTTTTGGTATAATGGCATTTAAGCGAGCATTGCCCAAATGCTTGCTTGTGCCAACCCCTCCTTCCAGCCCAGTCTTTTCCTTCTACCGATGCAAAGCCCACTTCTGATCACATCCAGTTGACATAGTCCCCCTCTTAAAGGTTTCCCTGAAGGTGCTAACCCTCACCTATATTGGAATGGCAAGACCTTTCCTGATCTACAGTTCACACTGTGGTGTGTTTTTCTGCTTTGATTCATCATTCTCTGTGTTTATCCTGTCCGTACAGATTATGTGTTGCTTCTCCCACTCTTTCCTTGTTCCTCCCCTCCACCCCTTTCCATGCCACACCTCTACTCCATCTGCCTGTGGCTAGCATCGTATCAAGTATCAAGCAGATAATTAATAAATGATCTTTATTAGCCCAGATATAACAAAATTCCTGGGAGTCAGTAAATGTGGTTTTCTTTTGACCTCCATCTTTGGAGTTGTTTTTAATACCTGAACACATCTCTAGGAGAAATAGGCTTGTATTATAAATGAATGGAGACTAGATTTGGTGTAACAGGAAGGCATACATCCCACAAAAGGGGTATCTGCTGCTCCAGCTGATTACTAGCAAGAGACACACAGACTCAGCACCATCAAATCTGACATGTCTTGAAAAATTGGAAATCTGGGTTTTTTAAAATGTTGGTCCACTGACTCTAAAATGTTACCATTGACAGCACAATATGGGGGGACCTAGCAGAACAGGAGAGAGCTCAAGAAGAGACCCATGGGTGTTGGAACTTGATAGATAACAGTGAGGTCACACTGGGGAAAGGACAGGTTGGGCAAATATGGTTTTGGGAAAACTGGTTCAGTCTCGAGAAAAGCTGGACCCTACCTTATACCAGATATAAAAGTAGGCTCCAGAGAGACAAGGCCTGCGTGTGAAAGGTAAAGTTCTGAAGGCGGCTGACTGTGCCACCTTGGGGAAGGAGGTTTTAAGCAAGACCTTCAAAACAGACTGTAAGTCCAAGAAGGCATGAATCTGACCACATGAAATTGAAATATTTCTCGTCAAGAAAAGGCACCATGCGTGAAGTTACCAGTCAGATGACTGACAGGGAGGAGATACTGGCAAGGTCTAAGTGAATATCCAGCAAGATCAAGGGAATCAACAACAAAGTCAGAAATGAGAAAAATGACTGGAAAAGCGGGTCGAGACTGTGAACTGGAAATTTCCTGAAGAGTGCTCAACTTCCTAGTAATTAAGGAAGGCAAATCAAAAGGATGAGCTATGACTTTATACCTGTTAGATTGCCCGGCTTCCTCATATTTGCCAATGGTGGCTATTGGTAAAGCTGTGCGAAAGTGGGACCCCGCGTGCAGCCCTAGGGAGCCATTCTGGACTAGTGCTTGGCACCATTTCATGAAATCAGATTTGCATCTGTTTTTGGATAATTCCACTCCAGGGTACGTAGCCGGGGAAATTCTTGCACAGATCCATCCCTCCCCCCTGATGCCACTTATCCTGGTGTAACCACTAATAGTGCTTCTCTTCCTTCTGGTGTCCCGACTTGGGTGACATATTGATGACTGGCCATTAGGTGGCATCATTACTGTGTTGTTTATGGTCTCAGCGCTGGAGGCAACTCAGGTGCGTCGTGCTAGAGAGCAGAGTGAGATGTGGTAGATTTCTCTATGGAGCACCATGGAGCAGGGAGCAGCAACGGGCTAGGTGCGCAGAGAAGGGAGGAAAAGAACCCATGCTTTTCCAAACAAAAGATCTGCAGGTTGAATTAGCGTATAAAGCTTTACCTTGGATTTTTTTTTTTAAAGATAATTTTTTTAGAGCACAACAGAATTAAGAGGAAGGTTTGGAGATTTCCCATAGACCCCTCGTGTACAGCCTCCCCCATAATCAGCATCCGCCACCAGAGTGGGACATTTGTTTCAGCTGATGAACGTGCATGGACCCATCGTTATCAGCCGAAGTCCATAGTTGTAATGCTTGCTGTTGTAACTCTCTGGGTTTAGACAGATGTATAATGACATGTATCCATCCTTAGAGCATCATGCAGAGAATTTTCACTGCCCTAAACATCCTTGGTGTTCCTCCTGTTCCTCTCTCCTCCCCACAGTCCACCTGGGATTTCTCGTGGGGGCAACATAGTACTTCATAGGTAGGATGCATTAAAACCTGCGGAGCTGCAGAAACGTGGGAAGCTAACCCATCTCCCATCCTGCATGGGGTTTCTGCCGTTCTCAAGAAGTCTGTTCTCCTCCTTGAGTGCGTTAGACCTCAGTCGTCAGAGGGAATGGTCTCTGATGTTCTGTAACGTCATGGCTTGGAGAAGAACCTCTGCCGTGCAAGAAAAGGGCTGGTCAGGCGTTCCAGCTACCTTAGAGTGAGAACATGAAGTTGACTTCATTTAACTCTTGGAAGTTTGTCAGGGCTTCCTGTGCCCTGCCTTAACCATCCCATACAACCCTCTGAACATCACTGAGCTGTACGACTTTCTGGCAGAGAGCTCCAGTGGAAAAGCTTCTGTTTGAGAGCCTTTCTGGCCCGCACATCAGTTGGAACTTTACTCTCTCTATCTTGAACACCGAAGAGGCAAATGGCTTTTCAGCCCAGGTCCTCCTTGGGTGCCCTGCCTGCCGCTATGCCATTTCCCCTTCTCTCTCCTGGTGGACGCGGTGCCGCCAGCGTCCTGCCAGATCCCCAGCAAAAGTATCTGAAATGCTGGCTGGAGAAGATGCAGCGTCTCTCTCTCTCTCTCTCTCTCTTTCTCTCTTTCTCAAGTTAGCACCTTTGCGATCAGCAGATGGGATGTCAAAATAGAGACACAGCACGCACTGCAACAGCTGTTAAATCCCGTGGATGTGGACGGTATTCCTCCTTCCCCACCCCCCCTTTCCAGGGGAACTGTCCCTTTGGGGTGGAGCAGGTGGATTGTTCTGTGCCCAGAAGAGGTCGGGGTTGAGGGGCATGAAGTGCCCAGACCATGTCAGTGCCATGGGGGATGTGTGGCATTTGCCATCTCTTCTCTTCTTGCTCTTTGGATTTTACTGCTGGCATTCTCCTCTCCTGCATCTGGCACTCCCTGGGCTGTGGGCATGAAGAGGTTACAGCAGCCAGGAGCCTGCTGGGCTGAGTTAGCACTTCCCTCTGCATCCAGAATATCTCCCAAGTACCGTCCCTTTTGCATCACGGAAAAGGGGTGGTGGTGTGTGTGTGGGGGGCGCTGCAGTAGGTCGGAGCTGGGGCTCTTTAACCACGTCTCCCTTTCCTCCCCACAGCTCTGCGAGGAGGGGGACGCGGGAAGGGAAAGGCATCGGGAGTGAAGGATGAGCCGGGGACACCTCGCCCCAGAGCTGCAGAGTGCCCGCGCTGCGCCCGCCCGCCGCTCTCCCCGCCTGCATCCGGCCGCCCAGGGGCGCGCAGACGCTGCCGGCTGCTCTCGGGCTCCAGGAGGGCGGACCGCAGGGCCTCGGTCACGGGAGCTGAGGGCCTGGGAGGCCAGTTCTCCGGGGCGCCCGGGGCAGCCTCGCCGCCGGCCCTCCTCACTGGAAGGAGACGCTGCGGAGCGTTGGCGGGGACCTGCTGGGGCCTGAGCTCTCCAGCCAGCCAGCCCCGGAGGGGCAGCATCACGGCGGACTCTGCCCCTTCCAGGTGACTCCCAGGAAGGCAGAGGGGGACTGCATCCCTGTCGTCATCCCTCCCAATCGAGAGGAAAGGCTCCTCTTGGGCAAAACTTCGATTTCCCTGTGCGTCTAACTCGGAGTGTGCAAGATCTGCCAAAGCATAGAGGGTTTCATTTTTCACTTGCTGGTGTTTGAGGAAAACTGCAAGGAGTGAGTGGTAGGAGGAGGAAGCTTATAAACTTCGGGAGTGGGGACCTCTTCTTGGAAGTGACAAGTAGCCTCAGACCTACGGTTCCTGGGCCAGTGACTTTGTCCTTTGCTTGGACACTCTGAAGGGTCTGGACGCTGCCACATGACCCACACCAAAGACCCCAGGAGAGCCATGGAATCCACGCTGGCGCCATCCAGTTCTGCCATGGGCCCGGTCACCTTCTCCCACGTCTTTGGTCAGCAGTGCCAGCTCATGGAAGCAGGTAGGAGGGGTGTCGTGTGGGGAGCAGGGTGCTAGCCAGGGGCCCCAGCAGCGGAGGCCCCTGTGTCTGTCTGCCCCGTCTCTCCCTGGATGTAATTTGGAATGTGAGATTCAACTAGCCAGTGATGTGATTGCCTGGCATATTCACTTTAAAGTTGCTAGGATATGCCACCAGACAGAATGTGCCACTGGGGCACGGCCAGTGAGGGCCCCCATTTGTCTTGTCGTCTCTTTTCTCTGTGGCTACCTGGAGGATGAGGGCGGGAGCGTCAGGAGGGATCTGATGACGTGGTGGCTGTGGCCCTCTTTTCAGGGCAGGTGCCAATCCCAGACTGGTCGTCTTCTGTTAGAAGACAGCCTCTCTCGGCTGCCGAGGGAGGTGTGCGAGCCGGGCCTCTCCAGCCAGTGTTGGAGGAACTTAGCTGCTCATGATCGTGTCCGTCCTGCAGCCTCTCCCAGCCCTTGGCTCTGCTGCAGGGAGACCCCATTGCTCTTTGCCCCTGACATTGTCTTCCAAAGGCTCGTGTGTTGTACAGAGGGGAAACTTGGGGCGGGCTGCAGCCTCACCCTCTGCCAGCCATCTTGCTCAGATGTGCATCGGTCACAAGGAAAACCAGGTGAGGGTGTGTGGCTTGGTGCAAATGGTCATGGGGCTGGAGCCCACACGCCGCTGCTTGAAGGTGCTGACGGTTCTGCTGGAGTCCCACAAGATTCCAGGTGGCCTCATGTCGGCCCGGTTCCCTGCTCTCTGAGTGCATCCCTGTTGGGAGAAGGACCACGTGCTCTCCACAGGTTTCATGGTTGTTCAAGCGTCAATTGCGCATTTTGGCTGTGAGTCAGGAAGGCGATGAGAAGAGCACTGTTTTGGGAGTCCAGGGGCCTGTGTCAGTGTTGATGCGAAATTTCCCAAGGTGGTTGCGTGACTTTGGCCATGGCAGACCCCACCCCTTTCCCCGGGCCATCCATCTCTAGCTGCAAAACAAGAACCGGACTCACGGCAGCCTGATCCATCCAGACCTTCCATTCTGGGGGCTCTGAAGTCCCGGCACAACAAACGAGCTGGTCACGGGAGCTGAGGGCCTGGGAGGCCAGTTCTCCGGGGCAGCCTCGCCGCCGGCCCTCCCTGGGGACAACAAATGAGCTGGTGTCTCGGGATGGAATGTGTCTGCACAGGGTGGCAGCTTGTGGGGTGGGTGAGCGAGGGCTCTGGAGCTGGACCGCCAGGGGTCCCAGCTGCACCTGTTACAGGCTGCGTGACCTCAGGCGGGTGACTTCTCTGTCCCTCGGTTTCTTCATCTGTAAAATGGGGATACCACATATACTTCATAGGGTCCTTGCAGAGTTTAAGTTGGTGCGTGGAAGGCTTGTACTCCTGGCATGGTGAGTGGCAAGTATTCATTAATGTTTCTAGAGGATGCGGGGGATGCTGGGCGCGCATCCTTCCACGGGCCAGTCGGGGCACCTTGGACTGCAGAGACTTCGGTTCGAGGGGTCCGAAGCATTGAACACCCTTCCCTCCACATGCACTTTGACTCTGGCTCGTCCAGAAGGTTGAGAATCTCCCACTTCACGCATCTGTGGATTATTTGGTCCTCAGTGACTTCGGTGCCTCTACCCCACATGAGAAGGAGACTTGGGAGCTTGCCTGGACCGAGGTTGCACGCCCCTTTCTACTCCCCTGAAGTTACTGTGAGAAGGCAGGTTGGATTTCTAAAGTGCCTCGGTGCTGTCCCCTGTGGCTTTATCCTCTAAGCTTTTGGAGGCATCCAGGCCTAAATCAGCCTGTGAAATCCTCTGTCTCCTTTAAAAACAAACACACACACAAACAAATAAACAAAACCCCTTCATGTCAGGGAAGCACAGGGAATAATCATGGCCAGCAGTCTTAAGGGAGAATGCTCTCCCTGAAGACATGCAAAGATGAGTAAGCCTAAAATAATGCTACCCGATTTGCAAAGCAATGTGACAGTCCTTTCCTCCTATTTTTCTCATTTTAATTTGATAATGGGAATAAAAGAAACTTTAAAATGGCAAAAAAAAAAAAAAAAAGCTAAGTCAGAAGAGCTCACTCAATTAGGAGGTGAAAAGGGTTGAGAGAAAATGTGGACCCCTCTCCAGCCAGCCATTTGGGGTTCAGTTGGCATTACAAATGAGACCTTCCGTGTGTGAGAAATGACCTCATGGCTGCAGGGGCTCACGGCTGTGTCCGTCATGGCTCTTCCCCAGTAAGATGCAACCCTCAGTCAGCCGGCTTCACTGAGCACCTACTATGTGCTTTCTCTGCACGGTTCCAGAACTACAGAATCTGAGAGTAAGTCAAAAGGCGATGCTCTTGGGGCGCCTGGGTGGCTCAGTCAGTTAAGCAGCTGCCTTCAGCTCAGGTCATGATCCCAGGGTCCTGGGATCGAGCCCTGCGTCAGGCTCCCTGCTCGGCGGAGAGCCTGCTTCTCCCTCTCCCTCTGCCTGCCACTCTGCGTACTTGTGTTCTCTATCTCTCTGTCAAATAAATAAATAAAAAATATCTTAAAAAAAAAAAAAGGAGATGCTCTTCCTCAAGGAGAAGATGATCTACTTGGCAAATGTAAAGCGTATTGAGGAAAAGAGAATTCTACATGATGTGACTTTTTTTTAAATTAATTAATTAATTTTTAAAAGATTTTATTTATTTATTTGAGACAGAGAGAATGAGAGAGAGCACATGAAAGGGGGGAGGGTCAGAGGGAGAAGCAGGCTCCCTGCCGAGCAGGGAGCCCAATGTGGGACTCAATCCAGGGACTCCAGGATCATGACCTGAGCCGAAGGCAGTCGCTTAACCAACTGAGCCACCCAGGCGCCCACAATGTGACTTTTTAATGATTCCGTTTTTCAACAATCCTTCCAGTAAGTCTTACATAAATTACCTTAATTTTCAAAAATCCTAACCAGTTTCTACAGGCAAGGGAAACACTCAGGTTGTCTGCATGCCCCCCTTCATCCCACTAGGAAGTAGTGAAAGGGGAAGGTGAACCCCGGTCAGATGCCCAAGCCTGTGCCTTTAACCGCTAAAGTATGTGGTCCCTGGTGAAGTCGGCTTAGTCTCTTGTGTCTGTAAGTATCCTATGTCTTAGGAGAAGTTGATTGTTCAGAGATGGAGCAGTCAAAGATGCTTAGTGGGGTGGGGATGGGGGGAGGAGCATAAAAGGGCCCATTGGACTTAGGAGGGCAGCAGTAGAACCCTGGTAGCGAGGATGTAATTAAGCATGGGTGGGGCCAATCAGAACTTTGACCCAGTTCATGGTAGCAGGATTGTGAAGGTCCAGTGGGGCCATGGGAAGAGTATGGCGTTCTTTCTCATTTAGTCCCAATTCAGCTTTTTTGAGCTGACTTTTTGCTGTCTGTCTGAATTGGATGAACCCCCAAATCCTAGACCAGGAGTTGGCAAACTACAGCCCTGGTACCAAATATGGCCCACTACTTGCTTTTGTAAATAAACTTTTATTGGTACACACCCACATCCGTTCATGTTCATTTTATCTGTGGCTGCTTTTGTGCTACAACAGTAGAGTTGAGTAGCTGTTACTAAGACCATGTGGCCCATAAAGCGGAAAATATTTGCTGTCTTGCCCTTTGCAGAATAAAGAGTGCTGATCCCTGCCCTAGACCCACATATGTAGCACAGAATGGGGGTAGATAGAACTTGTGTGGGACTGTGTGGAAGGGCTCAAGCCATGCTTCCTTGCTGGGACCTTTGATAGTATATGGTGCCTTGGTTTTCTTATTCCTCCTCCTCGCTTCACCATGCACAGTAGGCATTGCTTTAGCAGGGAGCATTTAGAGTAGGTCTGAAAGCTCTAGTAAGAATAGTTCCCACTGTGTTCCGAGATCTGTAGGACCTGTGCTGGATGAGCTCGTGTCTGCCACCTCTTCAGGCCACCCTGCAGGCAGACGGTGCCTTTCCTGTTTAATGGGTGAGTTTAGATGTTGGCAGCCGTGGGACTTAAACCCCAGTCAGCCCGACCCCAAAACCTGTGCTCAAAAAGGGCAAAACTGCAGCTGCTGCAAAGGGTTTTGTTGTTGTTGTTGTTTTTTAAATGTGTCTTGTCTTTCTCAAGGAAGTGGAGAGAGTGATGTTCTGGTTCTTCTATTGGCTTTGATGCTGTTGTTCACCCTCTTCCCCCTCTGGGGTCCTCCACCCACTTTGGGAAGGCTAGCCCTGCAAGTTCTTTCCCTTCTGTTTCTAACCTCCAACCCAAATTTCTCCCCTTTCCTCTGGACCCTGCTCTAGCCCAGAAAGGTAGGAGAGGAGTTAGCCTGGAGGCTGTCACTCTTCATTCCTCCTGCCTGACTTCCTTCAGGTGGGAGCTGAGGGCCACACTCCCAGGCCGGCCGCTGGAGACCTCACTGTATTCCACATCGCTCATTTCTGGCTGTCTCTAGCACCTGACAGAGATGCTGGGAGGAAATCTAAGGGGATAGGCAGTGCAGACTCAAGCTGCTGTCCTGTTGGTCTCCGTGTAGCTGAGTAACTCCACTTGCCCATCTCCTCCTTGGTCCCCAAAGTGTTGGATGGGGGAGACCGTCTGACCTGGTGTTTGGCTGTGTCTCTGCTACAGGCTCTTGACTGAGCCCTGGGCCTGACAGTCTGTGGGCCGTGGTTCCTGGGTGGCTTTGTCTCTGGTACCAGGCTCAGACGGGCTGAGCCTCCCCTGTGTCATTCTAGGCCCATTTCCAACTTGTCTTATCTGGGTGCCAAGTGTTTCCGCAGGCCTATTTCCCTTGACCAGAACAACTGAGGTCATCCTGTCCAATATATCCTGCTGGCGTTGCATGACATCAAACCTGGCTCCAGGGGGAGGACAGAGGAGCGGAGGGAGCAGGAAGGCGAATGGGCTTCCACACCTGGGCCCGCTGTTCTCTTGCACCCCTCCTGGTTGCCGCTCAGAAGCCCCCCACAAGTTGCTTAAGGAACAGTTCCAGCTCACTGCCATGTAGAAGCTCCAGTGTATGCAAGCCATGTCTGTC